TTAGTGGGGAGGAACAGCTGGTTGGTGATTACTGGTTTGGGTAACGTGGGAATAGAGAAAACTGAAAGAAATAACACTATAAGGAAAGAGACCCATTCTCCTCAGTTGATATCTTTTTCCTCCATTGCTTGTCTAATAATTGCCAATCCATTAATTAAATCAAAGCCGTATATTTGCAGTTGTTTATATATACACGTATATAGGTATGTGTGTGTATATGTGTGTGTGTGTATGTATACATACACACACACACACATATACATAATGGAAACAATTACTGTTTTTCAATCAATATACATCAGTATCATGCACAGATTTCAGTAAAAAAGAACAGTATCTTAATTAATTATTTACTTCAATTTCCAACTCCAATAATTTTTGGCTGAAGGTTTTCAACTTTGATTATATTCATTGCCTATCAGTAATTGAAATATGCTTATATGTCATGTAAAAAATTGTCATAAAAATTATATTTATTGCTACTCTTTACGTTCAAAGTACTATACTAAATGGCAGGATAAAAAGGAATAACCATCAAGATGCTTAAAATTTACTAGCTTAAGCAAAACAAATATAAAACTGACAATATGAGGTACCATAAATAAATGAGTAATAGACATGAAGTGTTGAGAATAGTAGGAGTACATGAAGCAGTAGTTAAGAATATTATGGCTTCACTTTATGACAGAGAATTTCCAGATGACTTTCTAGAAGCTAGATTAAGCATTATAAATAGGACTTGGGAGTCCCAGTCCAAGATGGTGACATAGGAAGACCCTGAACACACCCCCCACAGACATACCAAATCTACACCTACTTATAGAGCAATTCTTCCTGAAGAACTGAGGGCCAATTGAACAGCTTATGTACAACAAAAAATACACCACAAAGAGAACAGCACAAGAGAGGGAAACACAAACAAAGGGAACCTTCACCCCCAATGCTGTGAACTACAGTGGGGAGGGGTAGGACTAAGGGACAGGAAGCAGACTCATCTGTCCTGGGGCATAGAAAAAAAGTTATGGTTTAAAAGGGCAACCAGAATATAATGGAACCAGCCCTAGAGCACTGCCAAATGGGAGGGGAACTGAAACTGTCTTAGGGCTAGAGGGACTGGCAAGCTACACTGTCTATGATAGCCCTCCACCTTGATAGTAAAGATGGGGGCAGGGTCCAGGTGACATAGCTGGTCTGCCACCTCAGCAAAACCTGGGCCCCTAGCACATGCCAGCCCTTGATGACCTGGGACAAAGAAAAAAGCCACAATTTAAAAAAGCAACTAGCATATAGGGTACCTGGGTGGCTCAGTTGGTTAAGCGTCTGACTCCAGCTCAGGTCATGATCTCATGATTCATGGGTTCGAGCCCTGCATCGGGCTCTGTGCTGACAGCTTGGAGCCTGGAGCTTGCTTTGGATTCTGTGTCTTCCTCTCTCTCTGCCCTTCCCCCATTCTCTCTCTCTCTCTCTCTCTCTCTCTCCCTCTCTCTCTCTCAAAAATAAACATTAAATTTTTTTTTTTAAAAAGCAACTAGCATATAAAAGACTCCACCAAATGTCATGGAAGCTACTGAAACTCTCCAGGCAGACAAGCACCATGGTTTACATTCCCCTCTCCATCTTGAAAGCTTGCACAAGAGCAGAATCCAGGCACCCTAGCTAGCCTACTACCTCAATGACTCTGGGCCCCTAGCCCACACTAGCTCTAGCTATTCCACCAAGACAGCACCACTGTGGTGCACACTGGAATACTCCTTATCAGTGTTCACTACAGTTACAGCCCTTTTGCCAGAGTGATACATGGGCAAAGCACTCGAGAACACTCCAGGGCCAGGCAATGTTGACTCCAGACAATTCACCAGGCACCTCCTGCATGGAGCACCCTAGGACCACCATCCTTCCCTCTGCGTAGCTCACATTCTTCCTCAGTTCCAGCTCCAGCCTCTCCACCAGGGCTCCCCCTGCATGGATCATTCTGGGATACCCCAACTTGCACCAACTTCAGCTTTAGCCATCCTGCCAGGGCACCCTCAGCACAGAATGCCCCAGGAGCCCCCTCCCCTCCATCTTGCACCCGCTTCAGTTTTAATTATCCTGCCTGGATTCTCTCTGTGTGGAGAGCCCCAGGACATCCCAGCTTGTACCCACTTCAGCTTCAGTATTCCTGCCGGAGTACATAATGTGTAGGGTCCCAGGATACCCCCTCCCCCAACACAACTTATACCCACTTTAGCTTCAGCTGTTCTGACACAGCACTCTATGTGGAGAGCCCTAGGATCACCCTGGCCCCCACCCATTTCAGCTTCAGCTATCCACCAGAGAGATCCCAGCACAGAGTGCCCCAGGACCCAGGGTACACAATAGCCATAGCTCCGGCCAGCTAACCAAAGTCACCAGGCACTTAGTCTACACAGGGGATGGTAATACACAAGATCATTCCTTCAAGTTTAGAAGAAGTAGCTGTTTCACCTAACTCACAGATACAAAATTAAGCAAAATGAGGAGACAAAAGAATATGTTTCAAACAAAAGAGGAAAACAAAACTCAGAAAAAGAACTAAATGAAACAAAGATAAACAACCTACCTAACAAAGAGTTTAAAGTAATGGTCATAAAGATGCTCAATGAATAGGAGAGAAGAGTAGATGAACTCAGTGAGAATGTTAACACAAGTTTAAATATATAAGAAAAGCATCATCAGAGTTGAAGAATACCATAACTGAAATGAAAAAATCCACTAGAGGGAAGTAACAGTAGATTAGAAGGTGCAGAAGCAATCTGAAAGAAAGGGCAATGGAAAGCACCCAACCTGAATAGCAAAAAGAAAAAAAGAATTGTAAAAAATGAGGATAGGTTAAAGGATACCTGGGACAACATCAAACAAACATTCTCATTATAGGCATCCCAGAAGGAGCAGAGAGAAAGGGGCACAAAACTTACTTGAAAAAAAAGGATAGCTGAAAATTTTAATAACCTGGGGAAGGAAAAAGACAGCCAAGTTCAGAAAGCAGAGTTCCAAACAAGATTAATCTAAGAGGTCCACATCATGACACATAAAAATTAAAATGTCAAAGATTAAAAATGAAGGGAATTTTAAAAGCAGCAAAAGATAAAATTCTTTTAGAATGTATTCACACTTAAGTGACTATCAAATTAATATAGACTGCTATATACTTAGAATATTATATATGAAACTCATGGTAACAACAAACCAAACACCTATAATACATACACAAAAAATAAAGAGAAAGAAAACCAGTAATTACACTAAAGAAAGATGTCAATCACAAAGAAAGAGAGAAAGAGAAGAAAAAAGGAACAGAGAACTACAAAAACAGCCAGAAAACAATGAACAAAATGGTAAGAGTACATACCTATTAGCAATTACTTTATTTTTTTTTATTTTTTTTTATTTTTTTTTAATTTATATAT